TGGTAGAATGGACAAATAGAAGGCCGCTTCTATTCCCTCAATTAAAAGGAAGATTAAACATGACCAGAAAAATCTATACACACAACTATTACATGTCGCATCGGAACAAAGAAGCTATTATATATTTATGTAAGGAAAAAATGCTATAATCGTGATCTACGTTATTGGGTTTCTAGTGACAGAAAATAACCGGAACCATTTTCTAAATGGTTTGATCAGGTTATAAGGAGTCCTGCCTATGGAGTTTCCAGTAGGCAATTCCAGCCAAAGTTTCATGATGGCTCATAATTTCCACATTTTACAAAAACTAAATAAGAGAATGAAGTCTTTGTTGATAAAGAAATGGCACTCTCAGCAACAATCTTGGGTATGTCTGACTATATTAATTAACTTCTGTTCTGCTACAAAGAAAATCAAAGTACAGAAAGCATAGATAGCATATGCACACTTAAATATGAAGATGAAAGCTTGCATAGCAGATGAATTTAGATAAGAGAATGAAGTTTTTGTTGATAAAGAAATGGCAATCTCAGCAACAATCTTGCAAGTATCTTACTACATTAATTAAATTCTGTTCTGCTACAACGAAAATCCAAATATAGAAGCATAGGTTGTGAATGCACAAGTAAGAAGATGATAGCTTGCATACCAAATGAATACCATCAGTCGCAATCTCAGTAATCCATATTCTCTCTATTCGACCTTCCATCCCTTGGTAAGGATTAAATGATTCAAATACAGAAGTCAATTCACGACTGCGCCTTTTCACTGCTGTGCTGGGGACTTTCTTCATCCTCGCAGCAGGAGTTCCTGCATAATAGAAGTCCAGAAATAAAAATCATCAAACAACGACAACTCTACTAAAAAACATCTAGCAGTACAGGAGCACTTCATCTAACTAAATCAAGTCGTAGATTGAAAACTTATGACGAACGTGTTAGAGAATGAAGACATACCGGGTCTTGGGTAAAATTGAGAGATATGAACTTGTGAGAACTGGTAATCTTTTATGAGACTGACAGTTTGTTCAAAATCTTCATCAGTTTCACCTGAAATATTCATATAATGAGTACAATATCTGTCAAGTTGATTTCCTGGTCCATCACTTTATTCGAAAACTTTGATGATTTCGAAAGATTTTACAAAAATGTAAAATGAAGAGGAGAGAGGAAGATGAACTTCAGAATTGCAAACATATGTCCAAGAATCAAATTGTAGTATCAGTTGCTAACTAACCCGGGAAGCCGCAAATTATATCAGTTGCAATCTGCATCCCAGGTACAAGTTCATTCAGAGTGTCTACCACAGTCTTGAACTCACTCACAGTGTATTCACGATTCATTGCCTAGCACACAATTTAAGATGGAGTTCATCAGGTATGAAAAGTTAAACTGCACTTTTTACCACATACATTGCAAACTCAAAACATATCCCGTGAGATACTCAAAAGTGCTAATATAAATGGGTGACAAGTTGTAGCAGCCATTTTCATAGGCAACAGATACTGAATTAAGAATTGATAAGTATATTTGGAAATATATGTTTGAATTTACCTCTAGAACTGAGTCACTCCCACTCTGCACAGGAACATGTAGAAACGAATACACCGAAGGGTGGGACAATATTTTGGCTATTTCTTTCAAATGTTCCAGTATAAAAGGAGGATTTGTCATGCCAACACGAAGCATGGTGCTTCCATCAGGAGGAAGTTCTCCAACAATGGCGTTAAGTAAAAGGGGAAGGTTGGTTCCTATATCCCGACCTGCAATATTATTAAAAGATCAGTTGTAGATTTTCATGATTCAGCACAAGTGTAAGAATTATGTGGTTGGTAGATCTAAACGTCAAATTTTATCGCTCAAGCCATTGTAACAGAAGAATGTTGTTTTTCAGTGGGCTTTTCGGTAATATCCTGATCCGTAATGTTACTTATAAGGTTGTTTGTCTGATCGACTTAACTTTTCTACCTGAAGCTAAGAAGATGAAACGAACGAAAAAAATCAATATTAATAGACTTTACTAACTAAAAAATTATCTGCGAGGCAAAAGATATTCCTTAATGAAAAGCTCCACAAAGTAATGTAATCCAACTTTTCGAACAGGCGATTGCCCTATATTAAGATACTTTCCACAATTCTCAAGAAGAAATCTTACCATATGCACCAGTATCCTCACTGCTCAACCATATCTCTTTAACTCCTTCAGATATAACAGCTCTTACACGCCCTAACTGCATAAATTACAGTTAAAGGAGCTCCAAGGCTTTAAATAAATAAAATGTTGCATCCAGGTAACAGATCTTACAAGGCTGTCGACTGTGTAGCTTCCTAGGTGACCACGAGCATGCTTTGTCTTGCAATATGTGCAAGCACCTAAACAACCTACATTAATTGGAAGAATCTCGATAAATTTGTTCTTTCTCACCTGTAAAAAAGAATTTATGTTACAGTTAATATATTAGTTAAATCATTCTATGTCAATTGTTAAAACAAACTTTTATAACCGAAGATAATTAGTGAAACAATATGGGGAATACAACTTATACCTTAGGAAGATCTAGTGATGGCAATGTTTTACGGCTTAAAAGCCGCACCTCATGACCCTTTAAAGTCTCCTCAACAACTTCTACCACTCGGTCTATTTGCTGCACTCCAATTACACTGATTCCTTCAAGTTCCTTTAAGTCACGACTACCCTGAGGAACACATCCGGCCACTACCAGTGGTTTCTTTGCATTTCTACACTTTGATATGAGGGTGTCCATGGCAGATTGGCTAGGAGACTTCACAGTACACCTGCATAAAGCAAATGAAAGAATGTTTGTCACTACAAACTGATATGAACTTAGTTGATTTTATGAAATTGCAACCCAGTCGCTATCTTTATGAGTAATCATGTCAAATTTACACTTAAGCATGGATATATTCCATGGAAATCATGATAGCCTCATCCCAACTAATCTACTCAAAAGTAACATAGGCCAATGCACCATTTTGGAAGCAAAAAATAGGACTTATGTGATGGGGGAAATAACGAGTTATGTAAGAAGAATGGAGAGGGCAGTACGTATTTATCAACCACAGGTCTGCCTCATCAGGTGTGTCGCTAACGGCATATCCAAATGTTGAGAGCTGACCAGCCATATATTCACTGTCACTCTGATAAGAAATTCCACAGAGAAGACATTACGAGTAATGTGTTAGCATTCATATTCTACCTTGCATGCAAAGTAAATAAACAATGCAGCCATGAATTACAAGTAAGTGGTGCCTCTTAATGGATAGTTTATACAGAACACAACACAAAAGACCCATTGTACATACCGATACAGTATAGGATCTGTAACACTTCATAATATGATGAAATGTTCAAGGGAGACGGTAATTACAAAGACTTACAATGTCAAAATAGTGAAAGAAAAAGGATTAACTTAATGGCATGTATAACACTCCATTTTTCTGCCTC